CATACATTAAACTAATGACTAATACATTTATTTGCAATAAATAGATTTAAAAAATGTTCGAAGAATTAAAAGATATTGCTTTGATAGATTAATATTATCATCTTTCTAATATATTACCACAGGTTTGCTAAAATCAAATATATCATAATAAGAAAATCTGATAACTGGTGTGTCATGATTATAATTAACTACTGTCAAACATTTCAGTGAAGTTTAGAATAGCAGTTATTTTTGAATAAAATATTTACTGCAATCAGAAAGATTTGTAAACTAAAAGCTTCTGTTTTCAACAATTGTAAAGTATGGTTCAAGTACAAAAAACTATAAGCATGGGCGGCACAAGCTTAGGTTTCCAGGGGAAGCCATACATTTTTCATAATAACAATAATAATTAAAAGTATCTGTTTCCATTTTTTTTCAGCACCTCTGATTTTCAAAGACGCTACTATTAATCATACCGAAATTTGTATTACAGCTCGAGCAAAGAAGATAAGGTGATCAGTATTCGAGAAACAAAGTTTTATAAAGATTCTGAGAAGGAATTTCTGGAAAAGCACGGTTTTTTAAAGTGACCACTTCCGTTGAGAGTTTTTCAGATATCTCAAACTATATTTGAGAGATAAAACTGAGCTCCATGTATCAGTTAATTACACAAACATTTGTATTCAAAATCCGAATTGTTGGTCTCAGATCCCTACAAACTCCAACAGAAAGATTAGAATGACGAATGACTAGTTTAATCTTTGTAGAATACTTTCAAGAGTGTATGGTAAAAAATTAGCACAATCATATATTAAAGAAGAGCGGTAGGTGATGGGTGGGTGTGAGTGTGAGTGTGGGTATGGTAGTGGGGGTGAGTGTGAAATAAAAGCAACATCAGCATCCACACCCACGCCTAAACTAAACTGAGAATTTATTAAAAGGTGAACTGCAGTTCATTCCACAAAAAAACTTTCGAAAAATGCAAACTCTTATAAATTATCGTACTAAGTATACTGTTGCTTCATTATTATTTTTTTGTGCATTGTTCAAGGACTCCAACAAGGGCTAGAACAGTTTCCTGCTGTTTACCATCCAGTACGTCCAGGGCGAGCCTCTTGACACGATCAACTTCTGAGAAATGTATCCTCTTCAGTTTTGTACTATCATGACGTTTATCAACTCGAATGTTGAGACAGAGAAGACATCGCCATTGCTGATTGGTTAAACCGCCACACTTTGATATAGCTACTTGTTGGACTGATCGAACGAGTTCATTTTGCGTTTTGTTGAGTTTTTCTCCGTTGAAGTCGAGCTTGACATAGTAATAAACGTCATCGTACCAGTCATTGGTTGGCATTGAACCCGAATAAAACTTTGGGAGATTAGGCATGATGATTGTATATCCATAAACATCAAATAAAGTTGATGCAAGTTCCACACAATTAGACTGCTCTATGCGGTGTACAATATCATTGGCTGAGTCCTTGTATGAGCTCGAAATAATGGATGAAGCAGAAGCTTTGCTTGGTTTCTCTGATTGATCTTGACGCAAACGTTTATGCGGTCGTTCATCTTCAGCATGCAACTGTGCTCGCTGAATAACTACAGACATGTGTGCTTCTAAAATATTATATCTAAAAAATAAGATTGTAAAGACATTCTCTACAATAATGCAATTTTGGATATCAAGCGAGCGTAATTTATTTCAAATTGTTCAGCTATCTTCTATGCAACTCAGCCAATTCTCTGACGGCAACATTAGGAATCTGCTTGGTAGGGGCTATGTTCTGAAGAGCTCCCAGCCACTCTTTTACAGCATTCACATAATCATAGTCGTAGAGATTTTGTAGTTTCTCCACGTGGCAAGCATTTTTTTGTAGAGCACTGATCACATTAGGAAGAGATGAATCCTTATGAGTGGATCGATTGCGATCTTTGACAAGCTGAATGAGAGCATCCCAAACGTCTGACTCTAGGCCACACGAGCCTACAATTTTGTAAATGTCAGTTTGTAAACGGTCTCCAAAATCGGTTCGGCCGCGTTCTTTACCTAAACATTGAGCACAGTTGGACCTATACGTAAACTCCTGAACAGGACTGTCTTATGAATAGAGTTTTTTGAGTTTTGGGAGAATATATTTGGTACCAAAAAAGCTAATGCTGTCACTTACAGCTTACATTGTTTCAGTTTTTTGCATATCTTCAGCAAGTACATCATGATCGTGCCTATTATTACAACGGATTTGATTGTAAGCAACAATAAGGTCTCCATCTTTGATACGATCAGGTGTAGTTACCCGTGTGAATAGCTCGTAATTGTTTTTCAGCTGCTTGACGGATACGAGATAATTTGGGTCATCTTTTATGCAATCGGAGAGTTCAACACGTCTAACATGACGAATCATCGGATCGGTAGGCTCACATTCTCGAAACTTCCTTTTGTTGCCACCCATAATTATGTGTTTGTATCTAAATACAATAAAAACAGACGGTACCAATAAGCTTTAGAGAAGGTGGATCTGGGTGTGGGTACGAGTGTGAGTAGGGGCGCGTGTGGATGTGGATGTAGTTATGAGGGTGCTTATAAGAAGAGTATACCACCAACAATCACCCTCGACCAGACCTTCCAGTTGAGATTAAAAAAATCTAAAAGAAAACATTTTTCTCAGGCGACCTTCTCATAAAATAGAGATCTTCTCTCATGGACTCTCTCTTAAGTGCAACTCAGAACAAAGACTCTGTCGAGGAATGAATCTATCGATTTGTCACAAGACATAACTCTTCATATCACGTATTAAGTGCAATATCAACAACTTAATAACAAATATAGAAATTGTTGTCGACTAAGACATATTTCATTCTTGAAACGTTTCGTCTTTGATTAATTTGTGTATACATATATTTTCTCTTAAATTCATGTAATTTGATTTTATAATTTGATTGACAAGTGAGCACTAATTGGCAAAACATTTTAAGGATAAAATATGTTTTAATCAGTAGCATTTTCTTTATTATTCAACGCATTTAACAAAAAATGATAAATATTCAACATCTTAATCACTTAAGCGTGGATGTCAATAGAAAGAGTAGATATCCACACCCACACCCTCGAAATACTGGATGTGGTGAAGTAGATTATTCCCTTTATACTACCTTGAAAGTAAGGGTATGACTGTGCATGATAAAAAACTGTAGTTTCTTCATGTATCTCCACTCACCCAAGTATTTGATTATTTGAGTAAATAATACAGAATATACGTCGTTTGAAACACACTAATTCTCTTTTTTTCTCAACTCAAAATGACATTACACATTTTATTTCTTTTTCTTTTTATATGTATTTCATTATTTAAAGTAAACCTGAACTGACTGAATTAAAAACAGAAAAAAATACGTTTTCTCCAAAAAAAAACAACGTTTTAGTAGACGACAATCCGATGATAATTGCACACTGTTTGTTTCATGAAACAATAATACTATGGATACTGTTTATCTTTTTCAATTTTTATTTCTTTCTTTACATGTAATACCAAAAAGTGCAATAGATAGTAGACATTCTTAAGAACTTACGGAAATAAAAGAATAATATGTAACGATTTCTAGACTGGAGTGTGATATTAACTATGTATATTTTATTTAAAAAATCGCACACGTACTAAATATTCCTCGTCCCTTATATAGTGCTCGGAGAATTCAATATCCTGCTACATCATGGCATCTCATCAGAAAATGCCAAATCACATGAAAATGCCAAATCGTACGAAAATAACACCTCATCAGAAAATGCCATATCATAGGAAAACGGCACCTCATGAGGAAATGCCACCTGATAAGAAAATGACGCACTCTACACGGACCATCGTTAGGATTGGCACATAGTAAATTCGTTAAAATAAATCATATGCCATTTTTGCATCTTTTTTGATGAATAATAATATTCATATTCTCCTTGTTTAGTATAAACAAAGACAAGTGTTCCTTTGTTAAAAAACGTAAAAAGAATGTCTATTTTATTACTTATTGCAACCGATTTCCCATTCTCTGAGAAAGCGTCATTTTATTTGAGTCTATCAGTATGGAATGCATAAATAAAACTGATTTCATCCTATATAACGAAAATATTTAACAATTTATCAAAAAAAAAGAATTATCTTTGTAATTTATTTGCTGCAGCTTTTTCAGAAAATTAAGCTAAGAGGATTAGCTGTTTTAGTTTGATTACTCTTTTTCTTTCTATAAGACCATTATTGTCTGTCAGTATCGATTTATTTATGTAGAGAGGACATAGCGAAAGAATAAGTTTGTTTATGCATAAAATAATAATTGTGTCAATACTATGAGAAAAAATAGTTTCGTTTCGGGTATATTAAATCACTTTCATCTGATGGTGTGGGTGTGGATATGGATTTGAGTTTGGATGAGAAGGAGACCCACACCCGCACCCATACTCGCCTATCTGGACATAATACTCCTGTTTTCCGAGATCTACCTGGACGTAGTACCTGTAATTTTTCGAAGGTTATCTGAGCGAAGTATGTGTACTTTTTCAAGATCTACGTGAATATGATAGAATCATAAGAAGGAGCGAACATATACGCGAAAAAAAAGCGGCTCACCTAACATCGAAAAATGACTCAACCAGTTTCGAGTCTTTAATTTCTTATAAGTTGAAATAACCTGCACAAACTTTCTAGCTATCGGAACACAATGGATCAAGCAAAGTGCGCTTCAAATTGAACTGTTTCTTTATCCAGCTTTAATAAAATTCTCAAAAATCATATAACATGAAGACTAATCAATTTTAAAAAATGAGTCGTATTTCCTACGACACCTCGTTGGTATCTCCGTTCTATATCCTTGAGAATTTGACAAGGATCCTCTAAGGATTCCTGGTGTTTTTGGTTGCAGGAAGTGAGTAAAACCTGCAGGCATTTTCAGCGAACACAGTTTGCTCTTCTTCCTACATTCTATCTGTTGAAAAATCTGCTTTTTCTTTGTGTTGTTACACTTTTTTCCCGGAAAAAAACTTGTCCATCATGGTACTTATATTCTCCTTGTTGGAACAAGTTTTTTGTAGTCACCTCTGCATTCTCCTTCCAGAAAAAACTTTTTTATTTGCATCGTCAGAGCCTTTCTCTGACGAGAAAATTGTCCGTCATCTTAGTTATATTCTATTTCTTAGAAGAACTTTTTTTATTCATCTCAGCATTCTCCTTTCAGAAAAAAATTTGTTTGTTCTCCTCCATAGACTCTTTTCCGGAAAAAACTCGTCCATCATCATTCCTGCATTCTCATTGGCAGCCGTATTTTTCTTGGTGTCATTCCTATACGCGTCCTCCTGAAAAAAAATTTCTTTCTTTTTATTTCAGTCTTTTACACAAAACAAAACTTGTCTATCGTCGTTCTTATATTCTCAGTATTGGAAGGAATATTTTTTGCTCTCATTGTTCCATTTCTTTTTCAGAAAAAAAACTTATTCGTTCTCTTCCTCAGATTCTTTCCCGGAAAAAAGTTGTCTATCAGTGTTCTTACATTCTCAATACTGGAAGGAATATTTTCTTCTCTCATTGTTACATTTTGATTTTCATAAAAAATTATTGTCACTCTCGTACGAAGCGAAGGAAATTATTTCATAAATCAATAGTAAGTAGCAGGTGTGGTGTTTTTTTGTCTTTCGGCGGATAGATGTAAAGACCGAAAATGAATTCAAGTACTTATCGATTCAATGGAGTTTTCAACTAGTAATAGTAAGGGTGAGCCAAACAGTCTCATCTGCATATACATTAGCTTCAGTGTAAAAGAAATAATCTACTTTAGCTCATTAAGTACTTTGCAGAGTTTAGGATTTAGCTCAAGAAATACTGTGAAAACAATAGTCTCTTGACTAACACCGCTCTCCTACATTAGAAGCCCCCTCCTAGACGAGCAATGTGTTTGGCGTATTAGAAGCCCCCCTATTTTTTTCAAAAAAGTTTTAAAGTTTTTGAAATTTTTTTCGAGTTTTTCTACTAAAATTGCTAAAATTTCTCGATTTTAAGGTGAAATTTCGACTAGCTCCTATCTGGCTCTGCTTAAATCTGGAAAAATTGCCAAAAATCTCCTGAAAAACTCATGAAAATCTCTAGAAACCTTTTGAATCGATTTCCTTATCAAGGTCTATGAAACTTTTTTGGGATCTTATAGAAGCCCCCTCCAGAAATTATAAACGGTAGACAAATTAGAAGCCCCCTGGGCTTCTAATATAGTGGGTGGGTTACTTGATATAAAGAGCTAAGTCTTACGACAAATTGATGGATTCATTCCTAGACAAAATCTTCGTTTTGAATTGCACTTAAGAGAGAGTCCATAAAAGAAGACTTCTCTTTTATGAGAAGGTCGCCTGAGAAAAATATTTTCTTTTCGATTTTTTTAAATCTCAACTAGAAGGTCTGGTCGAGGGGGTAGGTGAGTGTGAGTGAATGTTGGTGTTATATTCTTCTTATATGCACCGTCATACTGACATCCACACCCACACCCATCCCTACTCACACTCGTACCCACACTCAGACCCACCTTTTCTAAAGCTTATTAGTATTATCTGTTTTTATTGTATTTAGATACAAACACATAATTATGGGTGGCAACAAAAAGAAGTTACAGGAATGTGAGTCCATCGGTCGGGAAAGTCGCAAAGTTAGATATGTTGAGCTCTCCGATTGCATAAAAGATGACCCAAATTTTTCCGTATTCGTCGACCAGCTGGAAAACAATTACGAGCTATTCACACGGGTAACTGCACCCGGTCGTATCAAGAATGGAGATCTCATTGTTGCTCGCAAGCAATTCTCCTGTAATAATAGGCAGAATTATGATATACTTGTTAGAGATAGACAAAAAACTGAAACTATGCAAGCTGTAACTGACAGCATTAGTTGTTTTGGTACCGAATATATTCTCCCAAAACTCAAAAGACGCCCCTCAACAGGCGGTATATGTGAAAACTTTTTGTACTGGTCGAACTGTACTCAATATTTAGCTACAATACGCGACCGACCAGAGGATGTAAAACAATTAGAAACTGCCATTTACGAAATTGTACGCTCTTATGGCCTAAACTCAGACGTTTGGGACGTTCTCACTCAATTTGTCAAGGATCGCAACCGATTCGTTCACAAGAATACATCTCTTTCTAGTGCGTTCAAAGCTCTACAAGAAAATGCTTGTTACGTGAAGAGACTACAAAATTCCTATGACTATAATTATGTAGATGCTGTAAAAGAGCTGTTGGGAGCTCTTCAGGAAATAGTCCCTACTGAGGATGATAATGCTGCTGACAGAGAATTAGCTGATTACTATATAAGAAATAGTTGAACAATTTGAAATAAATTACATTTGCTTAATATCCAAAACTGCGCTATTGTAGAGAATGTCTTTGAAATCTTATTTTTTAGATATATTATTTTAGAAGCCCAAATGTCTGTAGTTATTCATCAGATACATTCGCATGCCGACGGTGAACGACTGCATAAACGTTTGCGTCAAGATCAATCAGAGAAACCAAGCAAAGCTTCTGCTTCATCCATTATTTCGAGCTCAAGCAAAGACTCAGCCAATGATATTGTACACCGCATAGAGCAGTCTAATTGTGTGGAACTTGCATCAACTTTATTTGATGTTTATGGATATACAATCATCATGCCTAATCTCCCAAAGTTTTATTCGGGTTCAATGCCAACCAATGACTGGTACGACAACGTTTATTACTATGTCAAGCTCGACTTCAACGGAGAAAAACTCAACAAAACGCAAAATGAACTCGTTCGATCAGTTCAACAAGTAGCTATATCAAAGTGTGGCGGTTTAACCAATCAGCAATGGCGATGTCTTCTCTGTCTCAACATTCGAGTTGATAAACGTCATGACAGTACAAAACTAAAGATGATACATTCCTCAGAGATTGATCGTGTCAAGAGACTCGCTCTGGACGTACTGGATGGTAGAAAGCAGGAAACTGTTCTAGCCCTTCTTGGGGTTCTTGAGAAATGCGCAAAAAAGGAATAATGGAGCAAACGAATACTTTGTGCGATGAATTTTAAGAGTTTGTTATTTTTCGAAAGCTTTACTGTAAAATAAACTGAAGTTCACCTTTTAATAAATACACTGTTTAATTCAGGTGTGGGTGTGGGTGTGGGTGTTGGCGTGGAATGTGGGTGTGTATATTGTTCTTATTTCGCACTCACACTTACACCGGCCTCTTATATCCTTGAAGAACATGAAAGGAAGAAATTAGAAAGACAAATAAGGACACAGAGATAAAGACAGAGCATATACAATGCATTGCGGCGGAGCTTTACACTTACGAGGAAGTAAACCGTTACTATTGATATGATTTCATCGCTTATCGCTGTTGTGATGTACTTTTTATTTTCAGTTCTATAAAGGAAATTTTATCGAGTGTTTTAGACAAAGATGTATATTCCACAAAAATTAAAACAAAACAGATAATCTCTGCAATTCTGGTAAGATACGTGTTTATTTTATTATCCTTGAAATGGTAGACCGATAGTTGAGCGCCGATAATTGAGCCCTAGATATAGAGGAGAAATTAGAAAACACAAGAAAGTTATTCTACTTCACCAGAATAGCATCCACACCAAAAATTAAGCAGAGCGCGTGCTCTTTTAAAATATATTTCTCTTGTAATCAAACGAAAAGAAGATACTAGGGAAGGTGTGGGTATTCTGGAGGATTTTACAACTGACATTTTGTAATAATAATAACATATAAGTACACAAGTAATTGTGCCGATTAGATAAATAAACAAACTATATTTCGAAAAGTTATTTGTTTTACTAAAGATGAGTGATTGAATCAAAGAAGACTATTCTAGCTAACCATTAGTACCATCGAAAGATTTCGCATATCTGCGTGCTTCACTTTGAAATTTATCTGATAAATCACATACGAATTTTCTGTGCTCTCTATTATCTTCTCTATATCAGGGGCTTTGAGGGTGAGGGTGTGGGTGATGATGAAGCGAACACCCACACCGTCAAAAAATGTTATAGAAATTTTTAATTTAAATACATTTTAATAACTGGTGAAATAAAAGTTTAATCATATGTCAATATGAAATAATTCATGATTATTTTCATGAAAATATTGCTTTATGTAAATATTTCTTATTGAGAAAGTATTCATGATAATCATTATAGTGAAGAATATAAAATTTTTATTATTGATATCTATGAAAATAAAATTTGAAATATTTATAATCTTTGACTAAATCATTTTAAACGAGATGGAATACGAATTGGACCAAAAACTAACCGATTATTTATATGTTTTATGCGAATCAAATAAACATAAAATTATTCACTTAGTATGTGTGTTTGACATATGAACATTGTTTATGAAAATAATTTTTATTCAATTGATCAAGAATTTTCAGAAGAAATTAATTTTAAAAGAAATATTCAAATTTTATTTTATTTCATCAAATCATTTTCGCTTCTTAAATTATTTATTTAAAATCGTTTAATACATAATCTTATTGAATATCTTTATTCCAATATTTAATTAAAATTTCATCAATTATAATTTCACAAATAAATTCTTGATTTTGATCAGATATCAAATTTATATTTTCCTTTAAAGGAGTTTCTAAATATTCAGTTGAAAAGTTTTTATTCAGATGAATTTATGCAGTTGGAATTGATTTTAAATAGAAATAATTTAGTTGTTTTGGAAATATATTTATCCATTGATATTTATTAATATTAAGTAATTTTGGTTGATTAACTGTATACACATATATTTGAATGATTAATTTTTTTAAATAAAAGCAACGTCTTTGAATAAAATGATTTAATTCATCGATTGTACATTCATGAAATGGACGAAGAATCAGGTATGTTAAATAATATTGATTTGATATGACTAATGTTTGTTGACAAGATTCTCTTATTGAAACATCAATTGATCTGATTTTTTCTGTTCGATTAAGAATTTGTGAAAGATAAGAAAAATTTTTACATGATTTGATTTGTAAATGTTCCAGTTGAGGAAATTTTTCAGGTAAATCTTGAATAGGAATTGAAAATTGATCTTTAAATCGACAACATTTTAATCGATATTGAGTTAAACTGAGAATTTGTAATGATGATAAAACTTTTGAAAAATCTTCTTTTTGATCATTAACACATATTCCAATATAAATATATTCTAATTGTGTTGATGGAATGCTATTTAATATATGATTGATTTCATTATAACGTAAATTCGATATTGTTAATGAGCGAAGTGATAAGAATTGATTTGTTTTTAATGAATTAAATAAATCTAATTGAGAATTTAATGTTATTTTTAATAAACGAATAGATTTTGGAATATTTTTATCTATTTCAAGATTAATATTATGTGAATAATTTTCAAGTATTGCTTTAAAACGATTATTTAAATTAGAAAATGATTTGATTATATCATTATATGTTAAATAATCACGTTTTCGTTTTTTTGATAAACATGATAATTTTAATGCCATTCTCAAATTTTTAATGATGAAAAGTTATTTTATTAACGTTCTTGAGGGCATGGGGTGTGGGAAAAGAAGAACCCTCAACACCCACATCCTCCCAAACTCTCATGTTATTGAAGAATTTGTTCCACTAAAAGAAAATAAATCAGATGTATTAGATGGTACGTATAAGTAATTAGATATTTAATTTATAATGTTGATTTTTACAATTTTATAAGTGCCAGAATCGAGAATATCTAATACATGAGCATTTAGTACCATTGCTTTTTATAATAAGATCTTTTGTCTGTCAATCTCATAATTAATTTGACTCACGGTTCAACTAGTCGTTATGTATTTTAATAGACTTTATCAAATCTTATAATATGATATGAAAATAATGAAAGAAAAAAAAGTTGATATATTGAATAATTTCACAAACATTCTATTACTTTTTAGATGAAAATTTAGCAGATATAATCAGAAACACTAGCTTGAGTGAAAATTGGATTGACTTCTATGAGATATTTCTTTCAATGTTATCTTACCATCAGGAAACTTCTTTCGAAAATAGTATACTTAAGATATTCTTAAACTACTATGTAAAAACTAATGAGTTATTTTAGTTTTCCAGGAATTTGAAATAAAAGATTAGAAGAATTTGATTTTTTTGTATTAATTAATTTAGGGTTCTGGATTTTATCCATCATCGCAACCACAATTATCGAATGATCTTCTTGAAAATGTTCAAGTACATAAAATGATCTTGGAATTATCAGCATTATTAAATGTTCGTCAATTATTTCTTGAAGGACCACTTATTTCTGGGTGTGGGTGTGCGTGTGGGTGATAGATGGTTCTATTCCCATGCAAACATACCCATATCCAAGCGCACCCTCAAATTTAATTTTTTTCTTGAAAGATTGATCCTGTATTTGTAGAATGGTTAATATACAATTGGCGTGAACCTCACTGACGAAATAAGATGATGATGAATGACTGAGAAAGACAGAAAGAAAAAACAAGAAAAATCGCTGAAAAAGTGTCACCTACGCAGTTACATACTGAAATAATTGCGCAGACGTAAATAAGACAAAGTTAGAAAGAAGGACAACCAATTAAAATGCATGTAGTTGGCTTCTTTCCATTGCGTTTGTTCGAATTCTATTAATGATTGCATTTTGTTCGTCTTCCTTTCTTTTTCTGTTATATCTCGCATCCAAGTTCTCAATAGTAACTAGGTGGCGACATTGTCTTTTTATGCAAACAAAACAATACAAACATTGTTTGTCGCAGAAAAATCGAGGAAAAACAAGTTGTTGCCTATATAAATCGACACTGTAATCTCTGTTGTCACTCAAATCATCACACTCATTTATAAGTTCATATTTATCGCCAAGTTGAGGGTGTGGGTTCGCTATAAGCTTATTTTATAACCCACAACAACACCACACACCCACACCCACACCCACACTCACACCCACCCACACCTACACCCACACCCTCAAGATGGCCTATTCGTTTCAATTCACTTTTTCATTTAAAATAGACTTACCAAACTGAACTGAATTGATTCAAAGAAAGTTTTCAAATGCTTATGATTTAAATGAATGTGGCTGAAAATTAAAATAAGTCAAGCAATTGGATAAAACTAAACTAAGAAAAAGTAATCTGAAGTTCATTGAGTTGCATTAAAATGATTTGAGATTTTCTTCCAATGAATCTAATTCAGGTGATCAAATTTTTTAGTTGAGTTAACTTGTCCAGATCTGTGTTGAAGTCAGTAGTATAAAGTTATTTTGAATTATCATAATTTAGAGTACACTAGTTGCCGTCAATCACAAGTTAGCATTCATGGCTACTGCTGCATCTGTGTCCAATAAGCCATCCACCCGTGTTCAGTGGATGTGGAATTCGAATGTAAACCCATTTTCAAAGTCACAAAAAGTCGAATGGCGTCGTTATTCAGATGTCGAAAATATGATTATTGAGAAAGCATTCACAGCCGATGAAAGTCATGCTATGTTGGACGAATACCATATTGATTTTAAACACATTCTTCAAATCTCAAACAATGATACTGGTAAACAGCGACCTGTTAAACGAGTGATGTGGGATAAAGACGACAAAGTTTTGCGAGAAGAAAGATTTCTCCCCAATCCTGTCGCCCCTGATCTTCCGTTTGGTGGCCAATACGGTTTTATTTCACCTTTTATAAAAGAACTAGTTAAAGATTTGAATCTTACAAAAAAACAATTACCTTCAAAAGATAATACAGTAGTTTTAATGATCGTAGAAAAAGCTGCTCTGGGTATTATCGAAGAAGGGAAAAAAATCGGAAAAAAGCAAGAAGCCCAAGAAATAGCAAACCAGCTGATAGAAAAGAAATATGGAAGTGTTGTGCTTATCTCTATACTTTGGAAAGCTTTTTATACAAAAAAACGAACGAAGTTATGCGATTAATTGGAAGTGAACAACACGAGCAAGTCTTCTCACGAAAGAGAATATCACGGATTTACCACTAATAAAGCAATATAAGAAGAATATGGTTTAATCTCCAAGAACATACTAGCTTTTGACAGTACTTCCATAAAATTATGATTAATGATACAATTCAACAGCTACAAATCTATTTGGAAGTTATATTCTGATCCGTAGGAAATATCATATACAGATTATAGCATCCTAAATTGATAAAATTAAATACTAACTCTTCTTCTCTTTCGTCATTGATTTGTAATTATTGTTGTATTTGTATTTAGAAAAACAAGAGTTTGCTGCACCTGGTACCTTCAAAGAGCTTGCTTGTAACGGTCGTCGTTGTGCTACTTGTGGAGAATGTCGTGATTGGTACTCTACTGGTGATTTAGAAAGTTGGAAATGGATCCGTAGTGTGAAAGATTGGGGTGGGGATAATGCGGCTCGTTGGTTCAATCATTGTCTTTTTACACGTTTCAAAAATCGTGATGATGCTAAATGTGTTGAGAGTGATGAGGTTCTTCGTGCTATTTATTATACTGTTCATCTTGGTTGTTTGTGTGAAGACAATTGTGGTCATTTGAAAGAATAGTAGTAATCAAGTTTTTTAAGATGTAATTTGACTTTTTCAGAATTAACAATTCGTGAGGAAATGCATGCTTCTCTCTGAAAAAAGATGATTCAATAAACATTAGCTAATCTTGTTAATGAGGGTGTGAGAGTGAGTTCGGCTGCCATAATCTATATTTTATAGTTTGATGTTTAGTTGAGACACTGAAGTACCGATGTTGATAAAATGTACGGTCCATAGTATATTAAATGTTACGTCTGTTATTGGCGTTCGTTTTTAAATGGGTATTATTGTAATGATAAGAAATAGATCTGAAATAGAATAGAGATATAGTTAAATATCTGTTTAGATCATTCGATTATATGAAGAAAAAGTTGACACAATATAAATTGACCTGTCTGATCAGATGCACTAGGCATTTTAGACAAAGCATAAATATTGCTTGATAGTGTAATATATATTACCTGCAAAAGTTCATATACACATCAATTGACGATAGAATGTATTTTGAATCATTACCAAATGAAATTTTACTTTATTTATTCGAATATCTTTATAGCACTGATATACTTCGTGCGTTTTTTGGACTTAATACTCGTATAAAGTCTCTTATTTATAAACAATATTCATTCCATTCGTTTAACTTTTCAAATAAACAAAAGAATGAATTCAACGAAATATGTCAATATCATATTCCACATCTTATTAATCGTATTTATGCTCTGAAAATTAATGAACATTTTTTTACTTATATTTCATCATTTGATCAATTTACTCAATTACGATTCTTAAAAGTATCGCGTGTACCTTCACCTAAAACATTAACAAAAATTATGGAAGAATTACCACATTTATTGAATCTTACACATTTAACTATTCGTTGTGTTATTACACGACAAGTATTCATTGATTTTTCATTGATTATTGATACAATTTGGAATTTACCAAAACTTCGTTATTGTTCTTTAACTATTTATAGTCCAGGGATTAATAGATTATATATGCCAACAAAAATATCATCAACTCTTGAGTCACTCAAACTAACTGGATATCCTATTCCTTTTAATCAAATAGAACAATTCATGAAATATACTCCTCATTTAAAATATTTGTCAAGCGTTATTGTTATTCTTGATAATAAGATTAATTCTGACTATGTTTTACTTTCTCTTTCGACATTAATCAGTTTAAATATTGGTATATGTCGCCGATGTAACTTATCAACGATGGATTTATTATTGAAAAACTTATCAAATCTTCAACATTTAACTATTAGATTATTTGACAATATCATTGATGGTTATAAATGGGAGCAATTTATTCGTAATTATCTTTCTAAATTGAAGAGTTTTAAAATTGATATGAGTTATAAAATTGATCGTAATCGAAATATTGAAGAATATATGAATCAATTATTGAATTCATTTCAAAGTTCATTTTGGATTAAAGAACATCAATGGTTTATGCATTGTTATATAATTGATACAACTATTCATCTGCATACGCCAACATGTTATGATTTTTATTATCATGATCAAAAATTTCCTCTCATATGGAAATCAACAAATACTTTATAACAATATAGAAACAATCGATGAAACCTTTTTTGATCAATCATTACCATTAGATATTTGTTTACCAAATATTAGATCTATTACTATTCAATTTCCACTTCCTGATCAATTTTGGTCTATTATTCCTAATCTTAATCATTTAAATACATTAAATATCATATTATTTACTGATATATATCAATCAGAATTACAAAATATATTAAATCAAACAACTCATTTGTGTTCTTTACATATTAAACAAGATCCATCATTACGATCACCTCAATTATCATTCTTTAAATGTACAAATTCATCAATTCCTATTCTTGATTTTATTGAATTGAATTATTCTTTGGATGAGATAGAATGTTTATTATTTTCTCGTTCATCATTAGCTAATCGATGCGAAACATGTTCTATTAATGTTCAAAATCGTCATTGTATTGTTATTCTTATGAAAAATATGCCGAATCTTCAGACGTTAAATGTTCGTTGTGAAGAGGAAGTCTCCATCACTGAAAACATCCAAATTATACAATGGTTAAACGATAATTTACCATCAATATATTTGATTACCAAAGATTCTGATTCTTCTGATACTATTCGAATACGGATTCAATAAATATAGTTTTCGTTATGAAATAAAATTTTTCAATAAAAACATAAAATAATAAAAAAATCTCTATATTATTTTTTTTTGTAAATATTTTTAATAATATTGAAGATAGATAGAGTTAAATGTCTGTAAAGACGTTGAGAAGTAGTTAAATATATTTGTAGTCATATTCAAATTCTAGAGAGTGTGGGTGTGTGGGTGTGGATGTGGGTGTGGGTGTGGATGGGGTGGGTGTGCGTGTGGGTGTGGGTGTGGGTGTGGGGGTGGATGTGGGTGTGGGTGTGGGTGGGGATTAATAGAGGTTAGATATACACACACTCACACCCCACCCACACCCCATCCACACCCCACCCACACCCACACCCC